CTTGCATACTTTATCCATGCAATTGGTACTTTGCTATCTCTAGTTAAATCAAACTAAAGAAAAGAAAATGACTGAAAACCAGAATAAAAGCATAAATAGAAACAATACCTGAGTATCAACTGTCGACTGATGAATATGATCAGTTAGAGTTTCATTGAATCCAACATAAAACTTTTGCCCAGTTTCTATTGTTATACTCTCTAAAGTGACGAATTTCTCAATTTGCATGGTAATCGAAATACCATTATGTGAATCAGAAATAGTTATGCTAACCAATTCCTGTAATTCAACATAAGGTCTAAGATTTGCTAACGATTGGAAAGACAAAATATCATCAGAAGTGGTTTCTATCAGGCAAAGATGACTGATCTTCTTACTTATGAATTTGTAGACCCAAAATAATGACTGACCATCATTTACACTCCGAAATTTGATCGCTCTTTCGCTTTCATCTTCTTGATAGCTGTAATCTAAGAGGAATGAATAGCAATTAACCGGACCGAATATCAACTTATTGATTACTCTGATCGTTGATACAGGTAATTGTACACCGTTCCAGGTGAAATCGCGAATACTTTCCATTTCCATGGCACGTTTATCTGAATTGCATTGGAATCAGTGAGTTTAGTGTATTTGTTTGAATAAGATTGTAGCATCAGTTCAACTTACCAAAGAAAACGATCTTTTTTGAAGTGTTGAGGTTGTAATGAACTTGCATCTCGATGTCACCTTTTTGTATCCTGATCACTCCATGAATTGTGGGCTTGAAATAAACTGTTTCAGCCAAGTACCAAGTATTGTTTGATTCCTGAAAAATTAAAACAATCATTTAATATTGTTGGCTAAAAAGACATTTGTTTCTTTACCTTATGAGTTATTTTGGCTTTAATCAACAAATTGTTTGAACTCATTCTGATTTCAGTGGCTGATAGGGAAATTATTCATTAAACTGGTAAATAATTTGATGTGGAAGGAGACTTACCTTGATTCAACTGAAACAGTAAAGTTAATATTTCAAGTGAAATTAAGATGAAATTCATTTTGTGAAACTTTTAACCAACAAACAGTTGTTGTAATGTGAATCTTTGGAATGATATCCTCTCAAAGAAAACAGATGAGCTCAAATGATCTTTGATCATCAAATACACAAAACGCCCTTTCCGTTTTTCATTTTAAGACATAACTAATTAGGCTTCTGAACATACGAGTTGACTCAACAAAGCGCGTGATCGATCAATTTTTATGATGATGATAAAATGATTTAATTTAAGTTTAGACTTGATTCTTCTCACAACTTTTTCTCAGAAACTTTTTCACAAGCCAATAAAATCGAATCTCTATGAGTTAACATCAATCATTTTAAACTTTTACGTTCGAATTATCGGCACTTGAATTGGCGCATATGCATTAGACGGAGCCTCAAGTGACTTCCATTTTTTTCTGTGATCACTGCAATATATGTTGATTAAATTTCTAAAATTATACCGAATTTGTTTAAAAATACAAGAAACTGATGCGATCATGGCTGATCGCAAGTTTCTTTTAAAAACCCATGCTAACCGTCTTTTCACCGTATTGTCCATCCCCCAAATCATTAAACTAAAAAATGTTCCCTCCACAATGCTTTTGCATACAGATTGTTTTTCTTTCCACTCTGAAAATAAATTTCTGAAAATTCTGAATTCTGGGTGGTGGGTAATTTCATAAAAAATTTGTTTTGAAATTTGGTTGAAAAAAGTGGTGGATGAAAGTGATGGACAATTTTGTTGAGAAAAGTCTCTTTAAAAAGTGATGATGTTTGATTTGATTATTTTGGTGGATGTGGTGGATAGAGTGGTGGACAATACGGTGAAAAGAAGCCGGTCATCTCTTCACTCCTTACTCGAAAGCTAAAGTTTTACATAAAATCCTGGTCCAACAATGAACCAAAAACATGAATAACAAAAAAGTTTTTCCCCCTCTTTCAATGTTATTGAATACGGATTCTACATCTTTTCCACCAGCCTCTATTTTCATGAATTTCTCAAAGATCTGAATTCTGAGGTGAGGTTTCTTATTTTTCGTGGATGTAGTTGAATTCAGGCTTTCATGCTGTGTAATTCTTTTTATTAGAACCCGCTGAGTTTGCCCACAATCTTGACACAAAAATTGGATACATTGACTTTATATATTGTGTAGATATACTAAACATTAAATGTATAAAAATTAAAGTCAACAGTTTGAAAACATTTCTTTTTTTATTTTGCTATTCTTGCAATATTTTTAGGAATCAGATGCTTGATTTGAATAATTTAAGCGAGACATAATCACGAAGAGAATAATTTCGGCGTTGAATCAGTCTGAAGTCAAATGCAAGTTTAACAAATATCACAATAGTGATCAATATGGAGTATATGAAGAAGAATACGCTAGTTGAGTTCGATTTCGCCTTTTCTGGAGCATCTTCGATTGTAACATCAACTACAGCAAATTTAACCCCCAAAGATCTGAATTGACTGCCATACAATTTGAGATAAGATTTTTCAATTACTTTCAAAGGAGCTTCTCCCGATAGTCTAGTTAAACGCTGATCTGAATTGCTAAACACCATGCAATCCAATCCATTGTCATCTTCATCTGGTAATGAGTCTCCATGACCAATTCCAAGGCATAAATAATCTCCGTGAGTTTTACAAGTTATAACATCACTGCAAGATAACAAGTTTTAGAATATCAAGGAATTCATTTTCACAAAATTAACTAACCTTAAATTGACTTTAGAAGCTCTAAGATGTAAGCATTCATCAGTTGTTGATGTATAAATTTGACCAGATTCAGTTGATTTGATCTTGAATTTATGCGAAACTCCTCTCTTTTTTACTGCGTAAAAATGATACTATTAGTTTAATGATTCAATGATTTCAAGTTATCAAAATCTTACAAAAGTCAATCACGATTGAGTCAGAAATCTCTGAAGGCACGTGATGTTTGTAATGAAAAAAGCTGAATTTGATCAAGTTTATTCTTAAAAATGATATTTCCAGTTTGTCCATGAGTAATCTTCTTAACTCCTTCTTAATTGCAAAAATGCCACCAATTGCATTATGAAGTCGTTTTTTCGTAGTCGACTGATCTATTGCAATGAAAAATATGTTTATGAGATTATCCAAAAATC